CACCCAGCCCACCCAAAGTTATCCACTTGATGAACTTGTAGTAAGGATCTGGCCCAAGGCTCCTCCATTTGGCCTGAGCTGGTGCATTCCCTGGTCTGTGTGGTCTTCTTAGAATTTCTGTTAGATGAGACCTGTCATCTGCCTTCATTAGTTCACTTAATGTATTATTTCTTGTCCAGTTTCCTCCAGCACCCATGATCAGATAGTGACTTACCAAATGGTGGAGCCATTTTTTCTCTAGAATATAGCAGTTTCTCCTGGTAAAAGCTCAGAGATGTCCGTTGTTTCAGTGTATATATTTCCAGGATTTGATTTGTATGTGCGCCCCTCTGCACCTGAAGGGAACTTAAGGGAAAGGGGTTAGGGGTCGTAGCGGGTTTATTCCAGACACCTACGTTTAGGAAAGGACAAAAGGGAGTGGCAGTCTCTGTACCCCAAAGCCAACCCTTTGGAAGGTGACCCCTTTCCCTTAGCCAAGGTGGAAACATGCCCCCTACTGGGACGGCGCGTGCAAATATCACCCCCACTAGTGTAGCTGGCTCACAATCCCTCATGGAACTCTAAAGAACTTTGGAAAAGTTCTTGTGAGTTTCACTCAAAAGACTCTCCAATGTTTCTGGAGGTTGAACAGGCAGCACCCCACGTGCACATACACTTTGTCGGTGGTTGGCATTTGGTCGATGACACACAGTCTCCTAGTGAATGTGAAAAGCCACTGAGCAAAATGGGACTTAGATATCTCATGGTCCCTCTTGGCTAGAGGCCGTGTCTGAGAATTCTTCCCAGGGGACACCCATCCCTGAAAGTCTCCATCCTAGTGGCCCTGGACGTTTCCATCCCAGCATCCCTACAGATCTCCATCCCAATGTTCCTGGAGGTCTACCTCCTAGCATCCTTGGAATTTTCCATTTCAGTGTTTCTGGAAATCTCCATCTGCCTCATCTCACCACAGTCCCAGCCCAGCCACGCCAGGAGGGATTGGACTAGCCATTGAGTCAGCCTAGCATGCTATATGGCATGGTGACCAAGAGCAGTGGGATCTGCACACTTAGCACATAAAAGTCCAGGATACACAGTTAAATTTGAATTTCAGATAAGCAATCCTAGGACATGGGCTATATTTTCTAATCTCATACGGTGCATGGTGCTTTGTAGACTCTCGATAAGTAAAAGAAAGGATAGACTGGACTTGCTTAGGAGCGTGACCTTGAGCCCATTTCACAGTCTAATTTTTTCATCTTTAAATTTGATGTAATTATTTCTATTCCTTTCAGCTGTTGTGAGGATTAAATGAAATAATCCATGAAAAGTGATTGTCACAGTAATAGGCACCTAGTAAGCACGAAGCGCTAGGGAGCTCTGCGGATATCTATGGGTTTTGGCATGCATGTGCATATGTATTTTGGCAGATATCACTGAGTAAGAATAGGAATTTTACCTAGAAAACTTGGTGCGATTAGGCTCAGAATGTTTTGGAGGGAGTGTGAGCCAATTATAAAACTTTAAAAATAGCCCAACCCTCAGATTCCTGTTTGGGAGGGCTTGACCCACCAAAAGAAGTTTGGATAGCAGGTGTATATTCTACAGATCTGTAAAGGTTTAAATATATGCTTGGTAGAAAAATACAATGAGAGTGGGTTTTTGTTTTGTTTGTTTTTTTTCATAGTTGCACTAGGCATTGTAAAATTGTTTATTGGATGGTTTCACTTTATACCAGCGACACTTTATCTTCTGAAATGGAATTCAGTTCAAGATTCTTTGTGCTCTTTGCCAAAGGAACCTCATTGTTGCTGCAAAAGAAAAACCTTTCCACAGGGGATTTGGGTTGGGTAACGCCAGAAGGTCCTTGCATCTGAATTCATATATTTTCTGGAAGGACCCCTAAATCTACCATTTCTAAGGATCACATTATCTTTCATAATATTTTTTTAAAAAAATATATCTTTATTGATTTCAGAGAGAGGAAAGGAGAGGGAGAGAGGGAGATAGAAACATCAATGATGAGAGAGTCATTGATCGAGCCCACAACCCGGGCATATGCCCTGACCGGGAATCGAACCCCAATCGCCTGGATCCTAGGTTGATGCTCAACCACTGAGCCACACCTGGCCGGGCTTTCATAATATTTTAAAAGCATTCACATTCATATCCTGTTTGCCCAAGCCTCTTTAAAAATTAATAATTTTGGTGTTTTTAATGATGAGACTCAAGCATTTTTATTCTAGAAAATATGGAAAATACAGTAAACCATAAAGAATAAACACAATTTCAGAAATAATCACAGTTAACCTTTTTAGTTATTTCCATGAGGTATTTGATTTCTATTGGTTTATGTTATTGTGATAATATTTTAGGACTGATTTTGATATTTTTTAATCCAAAAACCTACTAAAAGCAGCTCCCAGGATATATAGACAAAAAGAACAATTCCTTAATGAAAGGATATGTTGTGGTTAAGAGCTATTTGAATAGATAATTATGAAAATAAATGATAGTACAAAACTGACACAAGTGTAAATTTCCTGCACTTAGAATTTAACACCAGATGCAAGGGAGTGTGTTTACATTTTAATTCTCCAAATGAATCTTATGATCTTTCATGTTTCAGGTCCATTGTAAGGATGGCAGGAGATTCGGTGGGGCATTTAAATATTATTCCAAATGGGGACTAACTTGGTCCACACACAGAGAAGGGTGTTTACAAATCAGCCATGTTTTTATAAAGCGTAAGGCCATATAGCAGTAATGAAAAGAGTGTGTCATCAGCGATAATAGGGGTTGATTTCAGCTTTTTTTGTTTGTTTTTTGACCTTTGAGTTATTTTGTTCCTATAACTTTATTTCTGATTATTTTCATTATCTCTGACAAGGTCAGTGTCATATAAACATATAAATTGAAGGGCATACTCACCTGTAACTCTCACACATGGAAGCCCTTACACCCAATACTTGGGTCAGGTAATCATCATAACTGATGACAAATATAACGATTTTTGTCACTGGAAATTTTAAATTTTAATTCTATTAAAATTGCATCACAAAATGGGAGCATTATACAGATATCAAGAGAAAGGGCAATGGGGATGCCCGAGTCTCCTTGCACACTGGCCTGATGTGAGTACCAGCCCACCGTGCACCTTGCCGTTATAATCAATGAATTATTTCCATTTATTGGAGGATATTTCTGTACATGTGTTCATACAAATAGTATAGATTTATTATCAGCATGTTTCTTACCAAAAACTAAAAGTAAAACCCAAGTGCTTCCAAGGCAGAGCTTGATATTTCTAACAGTTACAACAAGCTTGTTTTGAAAAATTTTATTGTATT